ATATATATATATATAGGGCCCCCATATACAGTATTGACTCCAGCCCAGGGGCCCCCATCCTGACTCCAGCCCAGGGGCCCCCATCCTCCTAAATCCGGCCCTGATCATAATACTCGAGCAGCTGTTGTTTTGTTGACAGCGATACTGATTTTTTTTTTAAGAGTTTCCGGTCGTTGTGAAAGATTTCTGTTCCAGCGGAGATAATCCCTGCAGGCGTTGCATTTCATATTACAGTAGCTTTTATTTGTGAACTCTTGAGGGCTGTATTCAGTGGGTTTCAGCATAAACAAAAAGCTGATTATTGTTTATACATTAGATTTTGAAGTAGCAGCTTTCGTTGGAGTCAAATCTAAAAGGCCAAATCTGTGGCTGTTTCAAATTTTTTGTTGTGAAATATAAATAAAAGCAAATAGATTTAACTGAAATTTTGTCCTGAAAATTATCAAATGATGTCAAATCTGATTTTTTTTTCTTTCAGAAAAACTCAAATTATGTCTATTTATGAATACAGCCCCGTGAGAAACAAATGAATAAAGTGCAAAGAATAGGAAGTGAAGAAATATTATTGCTCTCTACGGCGTCACTTGAAGAATCACAGTACCATATGAAGAAGCCCCCCATGAGTGATTAAATCATGTGACGCTGCAGATCAGTTTAAAACTGAATCCATCCAGATCACAGCCGGCAGCAGCAAACCCACAGAGCCTGCAGGGGAAAGAAACATTCAGAGCACAAAAAGCTCAGTTTCCAAACACGACACAAGATCCGTTTCAGCCTCAGCTGTTCAAATAAAGAGTAAATATTTAAATTAATCATCTTCTGCATGCAACTTTTCGCATGAAACTTGAAGAAATGCATCTCTTTTTGCCGTTCTTCCTCCCGCTACTGTGAACGTCTTCACAGGATGCGTCGCTGGAATATCTTTAGATATCTTTGAATTACTGTGTATTGTTTTAATTTTTTTTAAAAAGCAGCAAATACAGGAACATGATCAAAAATTTAAAATTAATCTGTTATTTTAAGTCTTCAAAAATGTGTCACTAAATTAACAATATGCTAGTTTTATGCTGCTATGACAGTTTTTTTTTATACAGAGATTAAAGTACTTTACGTTGTATCTCAGGCTGCAGGTGATAATGCAGCTTTAAGGCACTTTTGCTTTATTTATTTATTTATTTATTTAGATTAGTCACTTTACTGCACGCTCTACTGGTCCTGTTCATAAAAATGTTCAGAAGAATTATTGATTTTATCTTAAGGCCTCTAAAGCAGCGGCTCCCACTTCTCCAAATTTCTTGCAACAACTGAATAATGCAGGTTCAAAAGTCACATATATATAAAACAAAACATTTTTTTCTCATTCAACCTTTATTCATACAGGTTAGTCTCAATGAGTCACGAGGACACACTAAACAACAACTAAAAGAAAACAACAACGGTACTGACAATAAACAATCATAAAAAGCATATAAAATGAAAAGTAAATAAAAGTAGTGATATAAAACAAAATAAAAACAAGCTACATTATGAAACGGGGTAATAGACTATTCAAATAAACATCACACTTCCTTGTGGAAATGTTACAAACTTTAGATATGAAAAACAAAACTGATAATGAGATTGTAAATAATACTAAAGTTGGTAATCATGCTATTTATTATACTTTGACTTGGAAGATACCTGCAGTACACTATGATCATTAAACGTTAAGTCAACTATATACACTTTTTGAAGGATTTATAAATATTTTAAATGTATCTTTGACCAGTACAATTTATATTATCCTAAGTTTTGATATATATTTATAATATTGTGATTGTAAATATGTTAAATTTTAATTCTAACTGGTAAAAATAGTATTAATTTGTGATTAGAAGAAATGCTACTGAAACATCAGCTAGTGAATAGCATCAAGACACAGCACGCGTGTGAGAGTTGTGTGGCACGTTGTTTGCTCAGCGTAATATCTTCCTGTATACGTTTAATTTTTGTTGCCTTTTGAACCGAGTATGTCACTCCTGCTTTACATAGATCTATAATAACATAGAAAATTAGTTTACAGAAGGTTGTGAATTTTAATGAGCCTAAAGAGAGTTTTGATGAAAGGCTTCTGATGAAAAAAAAAATAACTTTATCACTGTATAAAAAGGTTTAACTCATAAAAGAAATCAAGTCGTTAGAGAAAAACAACTCACCCTGAGCAGGCGACGTTCTACCGAGCAGACGGCACTCACAGCCGAGGTAGGTATGATGTGTCTCTTTGGCTGTGCCCATCGTCTGTAAACAGGCCGTTAAGACACAAACCTTTAACTTTAAAAGACTTACAATTAAATATTAAAAAGCATGAGACTTACAGTGGTGCACACAGTGGTTACGGTCACATTCACGCATGAATCCAGGGTCATACGATCGTCTTTGATGGTCTTGCATGGAGCTATGCACCGTTTGATTTCATGATTAGTTTGGGCAAAGTTCTGCGAGAACAGATTAATAAAAAAATAAATAAATAAAAAAACTCAAGCTCCTAAGCGCGTCAAAAATCACAAAGTTTGTTTTCAGTTGGCTGCAGGGAGCACGGTCATGCAGACAAACACGGTGAGGCAGATTTTGACAGCATTTGTTCAAACGCATGAATTTTGCAAACACTGAAAATTCACTTCAAGCTGTTAAAAAAAAAAAAGAAAAAAGAATGAGATGTGGTGGAGGCAAACCAAATGTTTGTTGCAGGCATGGAAGCTGTTCAGGTTATCTAAAGTTGCATATTGACAAAGCAAGATGTTAAAGCGGGCAGCACGGTGGCGCAACTGGTAGAGCTGCTGCCTCTCAGCGAGCAGGTCCTTGGTTCAAACCCCGGTCCAGGGGCCTTTCTGGGTGGAGTTTGCATGTTCTCTCCGTGCATGCGTGGGTTTTCTCCGGGTACTCCGGTTTCCTCCCACATACCAAAAACATGCATGTTAGGCTGATTGGTAACTCTAAATTCTCCCTAGGTGTGAATGAGAGAGTGAATGGTTGTTTGTCTCGTTTGTCTCTATGTGTCCCTGTGATGGACTTGCGACCCGTCCAGGGTGTACCCCGCCCCTCGCACAGTGATTGCTGGACATGGGCACCGGCGACCCCCGTGACCCAAAATGGAACAAGCGGGTAAAGAAAATGGATGGATGGATGAAGATGTTAAAGCAATTTATTCAAAATGATAGTTGCTTTAGAAAATATTGCAAATGTGTGAAAAAGCCGATTAATATTTATTTTGTTCAACAAAGTTCAGTCAGGTCACCTGGATGATTTCTTGAGATATTTCGTCCTTCATCCAAAGAACTTCATCAGTCCAAGGAGTCAGAACAAACTCCACAGCAGCACATTCGCAGTGGACCAACCAGTTTGCCGGTGATAAAATGGTTTCTGGGGCTCGCCCTCTCTCCCATCGACTCCTCCGAGGCAGCCATGGCCAACATGGTTCAAAACGTCAACATCAACAAAAAAATAAACCATCCAGATGACCTGTATTAACTTTGTTGGATTTTCTACCTGGATTATTGAGCATGAACTTCGATGTTTTTGAATCACTTTGGCTATGGCTGCCTCAGAGGAGTCGACAGGGGAGAGGGCGGACCCCAGAAAACATCTTGTCACCAGCAAACTGGTTGGTGCACTATGTGAGTGTGCTGCTTGTAGGACTAAGTTTGTTGTGGCTCCTCGGACTGATGAAGTCCTTTGGATGAAGGATGAAACATCTAAATATAAAAAATAAAAATAAAAAAACAGAAACCGTCCAGATGACCTGACTGTTTGAACTTGGATTATTGAGCATGAACTTTGATTTATTTTGTTGCTTTGTTTTTTTTAATCCTGTGCACAACGTTGTCTCATTTTTTTCCACCACGGAAGAAAATGTAGCATTTGATAAGCTGCACAATATTACTTGTTAAATTGAGTAACTTGTAGTAGTAACTGATTACATTTTTAAAGTAAACGTTCCAATTCTGCTGACGGGTGTCGCACGGTAACTGAATTTATAAAAATCACGTTGGATTCTTGAAAAGTCTTTTGTTCACAGGGTGCAGCATTTTTGAGATGCTAAATGGTGAAACAACGCATGACATTTTGAACAGGCAGGGACTTTTGGGCTGCAGTTTAATGTTAGATGCTTTATGAATGATTACCAGGTTTATTGTTGATGTTTAATCCTCCAAGGACCAAGAACTTCTGTTTAAAAAGTCACAATATTAATTTCAATTGTGAAGACGTTTACATCAACTCGATTATGGGACACTCGTCTATTTTGCGGATATTTCTGTTAAAGAAAGAGATTTTTAAAAGTGTTATGTATCTGTACCTTGTCATCCATTGTCCAGATGTTCTCACAGGATGGATCAAACGTGACGATCGGATTACAGCAGGAATAAGATGAAATGATCTCATCTACTGTTGAGCTGCAACTCACCAACCCCATGATGGCTGAGAAATAAAAAAAAGAAGAACTGCAACATATTAATGTTAAACATTATTCTGTTCTTTGGTTTCTGCTTCGTTTTACACATTGACTCAGGTGAAATCTGGTGCTGAATTTTTACTTTTCGCCCGTTTGTGAAGGAGACAGAGCGGTTCCGACACTTTCCGTTTCTCTTAGATGACTGTAAAATATGAGACGGGCTTGAAATGCATCTTATTTTAAAGTAGTAACATGTTTTCTATACATGGTGGTGGACACGTTAACATATTAGGTCAAACAGGCATCCCACTGAACTATGATGTTCTATAGGGAGCAGGTGGAAGGGAGCCCAGTGAGGTGGAGGAAAGCCTGGAAAGACAATGGAAGTCCATAGAAGTGGAAGAAGGTCGTGCAGAGGGGGGATAGTGGATATATTGGATAAAATATGTTGATTATGGAACTGCCAGGGAGGAGGAAAAAAGAACGACCACGATTCATGGATGGACGAAGGAGGATGTAGTTTATTTATTGATTGGCTGATAAAAAAAAAATAAAAAGAAACCTGCTTGCATGGAGGGGGGAATTCCCTGCTGTCAGAAAACTGTATCGGTTTCTGGAAATCACCTGCCAGGAAAATCCCTGAGCATTTACTTTCATTTATCTGAAATATAATTATGACTTGCTCCTAAAAAAACAGTGTTCATTTTCCTTTTTTTTTTTACGCAAATGAATGTTTTTTGTGTAAATGGGATTTACCTGTCTAAATAAAGGTTGATTGATTGCTTTTGCTTCACACATTTCCAAACAGTTCGCTGCTCCAATAATTAACTCACGTATTCATAAACGTTTGTTTCGATTAACAATCCGAATAGAAACAAACGTGGTTCGGAACGCATTATATTCACATATATGTATTTCAATCTCTTCGTGCTATACACATTATATATAAACGTAAGCTGTTTAATCAAACAGGAAAAAAACGCACGCGCAGCCGCAAAGAAAAGTGAGAAGAGTTTAAACCATTAAAAGCGCAACAAATCAGAACAACATATTTATAAAAGTCCATCTATCCTTATATACTTACGGAATAGAAGAACCGCGGTGCGTAATGTTCTTACTTTTACGTTTATTTGAGTCTTCATGATTTGAACCAGACGTGAACGCGACCACCGGCTGCTGTGCTTGAGCTGCTAATGTAATGGAATGATAGGAAAAACCACAGGATTACGTCACATCCGCTCATGTGGTGCAAACGTAGAGGAACATATAAAAGTTTCACTTTGCCAGTAACGTCTCCAGCCTTTTTACGCATCACCATGACTCCAACTCTTCTGGTCCTCTCGCTGCTCTTCTCACCGGGTAAGTGATTGCGCACAGTTGTCGTGTAAAGTTTGATCAGCTCTGTTTTTCTTGTGTTTGCCTGCACGAGCCAGGCCGTCGTTCATCAACTGCCTGTATGTGTCAGGTTTGTGCGTGACGCTGCGCAGAGCTGGTGAGGGCGCGGAGCAGGGTTCGTGCGTCTCGGGTCAGGGCTGTTCTCTGCACTGCACGGCCGAACACAAGCCCGGGGTCCAGTACATGTCAGTGAGGTGGTACAAGGTAAGACAAGGCGCTTTTTAAAATCAGCTTCAAGAAGAGAAAATCATTCCTGATGCAGATCTGCTTTTACTTTCGGTTTCAGAATGAGATTTAGACATTTGAAGGTTGATGTTTTGAATAAGGACCTTTAGTCTTCAACCGGTGGGTTTTGCAGTAAAACGTGTTATTAGCTAAATGATAATTTACTGTTTCAGGAAATGCTAATTAAAATACATTATTAGCAGCAGAGGAAGTATCATTTGGTGTCAGATTCTCCATCAGTCTGCTTCAAGCATCTAACAGACGTACGGATGGTTTTGCAGCTCGGTACATTCCCAGTACCTCATCAGAAAGGCCTGGTCACCAGAAACCTCCCCAACGGCACAACGACGTGGTACACCGACGTGGACAAGAAGGTGGACTTTCAGGGTGAATCCCTTGACCTCTTCCTGCCCAACGTGACCTGCAGAGACAGCGGCGTGTACAAGTGTCACCTGGCTGCACCTGTGGGGGAGCAGAACCGGGAGGGGAACGTTGTCCTCACTCTGCCAGGTAAAACAGACGTTCAGGGGTTAGCTGGTTTTATCCCAAAGTTCAGATCAGGTCATCCTCATGCTGACCTCCCCGAAGAATCCAGACTTCTGATAGACAGAAATAAGATTGATCTTTTAAGCTTTATTTCAAAATGTTTTACTGGCCGCACCAAATATCAGAAGCACAGTAGACAAAGTCAGGAAGTCCTTTAGGCGTTTTAAATGATACAAAAACGTCACAGCAGGACTTTTAGCAGCGTTGGTCTACAGTATATCAAAGCTGAGTCCTCCTTCAGTTCTCTGGTTTATTGTAATGATCTTTGTCTTCATAAGTTCTTCAGCATAATCTGGCCTGAGAGCCACATTTGCTTATTTTTCCTTTTAAATCTCAGGTTGCACGAATCTTTTAAATACGCTCCCAGATGTTTGTCTCTGTAAGAGGAGCTCACAGTTGTTACACTTGAACTTTTGAATCCCTACCTCAGCGCTCTGAACAGAAAATACAAACAGCAACTTTTCTGTGTCTCAACTGTAAAGAGGATTTACTGGATGCGAACATTATTGGTCTTAAAACCAGTAGAAGCTCAGACTCTAAAAAATTCTCTACCTTTTTAACTTAAGTAACCTTTTTTATTTCTTGTTTTCATTTTCAGATTGTCCTGTTGAACCCGAAGACGTTCCTGCTGATTCCACAGAACCTCTTCTGCGCCCTGCACAGAACCTGCTGACAGATGCCAAGCTGGTTTTCGTGCTGATGGTGGCACTGCTCATATTCCTAATAAGCTACGTAAGTGTCCAAACATCTTTTCACATCTGGCTTCACTTGTTTGTGTCTCAACCTTTTTATCCGTTGAGTTAAATAAATGTTTTTTTTTTTTCCTTCACCACAGAGCTGCTCGAAGAATACTTTCAGAGAAAAAGCGAAGACGACAAAAAAAGAAATCCTTTTGAACGCTCCGCTCAAACCGCTTGACAAGAAGGACTTGATGTTAATTTATACCTTGGGTCCCAAAACATCAACTATGAAGCACGTTTGTGTTTGAAGATTATCTCGGGAGTGACGCATAGCAGTCCATCCCTTGCAAGGAGTCGCGCTACCGCGCTGAAACCAAAGCAGAATGTTCTCCATGGATCAGAAGGTCAACTGGGTCCAGCATGGCTGAACTTTGGTTCCTCCTGGCCGCATGCTGAGGTGATTCTGCACAAAACAACAAGCCCATTAGCATGAAGGTTGCTGCGGTGGATACGGATGCTGGCTTCTTTTTCAAAGTTCTCCTTTTATTTTATCCTTGTTTGCAGCTGAGGATTGTTTTATTGGAAAAACGACTTTCACCAAGGGGAATGAATCACACTAGAATATAACTTGTTTTTGCTCTGCACATCAGGCTGTAAGAAATGGACTCATGGAGTTACAGTCTTGAGTTTGGAGTGAGAAAATCTGCATCTGAGCCGTTACAGAGTCCAATTTTTACTGGATGAACTAAACACTGGATATAAGTTTATACATTATATTGTTATGTTTAATTTTTTTCATAACTTAAAATGGAATATCAAACAATTTCAGCGTTTCCTGCTAATACCAGTGTCAACGATTCTGCTTTTGAGATTCATTTTTATGTTTGAGTTTTCTTTATAAGTGATGAAAGCAAAGCGAATGTGTGTGTGTGGGTTGGTGGCCTTTCAAATCAAGAAGTGAAATTATGACACCCACTTGTGTTTTTACATCTGGGGAAATTTCAGGGTGCAGTTTTGGGTTCTGGGATTTTCACATGTGAAGCACTTTTAAAAATACTAATCAGCCTTCAACTCGTGTTTTAGATTTCCCAATGAAAAACTAAGCCATGGCTTGTAACTTGCATGAATCAGAATATTTGCTAATCTTCCCTCAGCTGTAAACTTATTGCTGTAAACGTCAAACAAGTTAGAACATCGACGAAGGAGAGCTGAGGCGTCATGAGGCCGTAACAGACAAACCCATATCTTAAGCACGGTCAGTGCCTGAGATTGTCACTGTTAAAACAAATTTATAAAAAACGGTAAAATGCTTTGGCAGCTGAAGTTGAGTAAAGTTATTTTTAAAGAGTGGTTACATTTTATAACCTCAAACTTTTAAAACAATTTGCAAAGAACACTGGCAGCTTTTCCATCTATATAAAATTACATTATAAAAATATAACGTACTACCTTCAGTTCTTATATATTTTAAGTTCACTATTTGTTTAAGAATAACTTTTCATTTAAGCTTTATGTACAAATATCTAAATTGTCAATAAATAAATAATAGAATAAAATGGATTTGTGTTTTTTCTTACATTTGACATTAAAGTTAGTTTCTTTTGAATCTTAAACCAGTCTTAAGCCAATCAATCCAGATGTGCACACAAAACAAAAACACTTGTTCTAAAGTTTTAATGTTGCATTTGCAAAATAGCCAGTCTATATAAAATCTGTCTCAGAATTTTATTTTTTAAGATGGAAATGTCTTCCTCTTGGATTATTTGAATAATTTTTATTTTACTTAAATGTCATAACCTTTTGGTTTTGTCTGCTAGGTGTGGGAGGGTTTATGAGTCATTTTGGCCTGTTGGGAATTTCCCACTGAGACTCGTCTTAATACAACACTGCCCTCTGGTGGGCAATAGTTCAAACCACTTTATCCCTCGGTTTACCGAAAAGATCACTCCTTTTTGTCGTTTTCAATTTTTGGTGATTAAAAATTAAAAAAGATAGATAATACAAAAAAAAAGAAAAGAAAAACATTCCCATACCGAAAGAGTATTTTGTTAAATTGGCTATGTGGGGACACATTGAAGCATCTGGTTGTCGTGGCCGAGTGGTTAAGGCGATGGACTAGAAATCCATTGGGGTCTCCCCGCGCAGGTTCGAATCCTGCCGACAACGCAAAACATTTTTTGTTGGGTCGGTTTAAAAAGACTTGATATTATCATTAACTTATATCTTAACGTTTACTGTACATGATATACATGTAGGCCTGTACTATGTTTAAATGCAATGCTTCACTACTAAGCGACTTTCTCAGAATAATTTATAAATTAAAGTACTTCCGGTTTTCTTTTCAAAATAAAATTCAGTCTCTAAAGTTTTCTGACCTCACCGTTAACATACTGTATTACAGAGAAAGTAGGTAAGTAGTAGTGAAAGGTAATTATTTTTAGGCAGCAATGTGTTTGATGGATGATACAAAAGTTGGGAGTATGTGATTAACGCGTTCATTTTCCATTATTTTGAAATCAGGATTTGCTCCGTTTCCGTTTTGTTACCTAGTAACGGCTAAAGCGCCGAGCCGTAATGGAAGCTGACTAGCAGCTAGCCCTTAAAGCTAGCGGGGGCAACAAATGCAAACAATTAGATGACCATGGCGGACGATGACCTTGATCAACTTCTGGATGAAGTTGAAAAAAAGTTTTGTTGTAACGTTTCGGTGGCGTGTTCAGCTCGCAGGGACATAAGCGAGAGTGAAAAATCCAGCGAGGGCAAAAACAGACGGAGAAAGCACAGGTAAGCTAGTCCAACGTAAAACTAACTTTACCGCTGTGCTAGTTTCAGTAACAAATGTTTAGTTAAAATGTAAAGTTCAGACATTTAAACCACGTTTAATGAACAGTTTAGAAGTAATACCTGCGTAAATGTTCAGAAAAAAGACGATCGCATGCAATAAGTGAGGAAAATACAAACATTTATGTCATTACGGGTTTACTATCAATACAGCTTTGGTCACAAAGTTGTTAAATGTTCATTTTTGTTTTCTGTATCAGTGTCATCCAACCTGAGCAGCCGATAAGCAGCGTCTCTGAGGATATTGATGCTTTTCTGGAAGAATTCCTGGAGGAAAATTACAACGATTCCCCTTCAATAAAGGTAAATTAGCTCACGTGACATGGGGCAAGTAATGTCAATTAAAACAACGTAAAGATCGACACAATAAACAATTGCCACTCTGAAATATACAGCTTGGAATTTTATTTATTTTTACACCAAAAAAATGTAGTTTTTTATTGTTTTGCTTTGCTTGGAGAATGTGTTTTATGGTTTATAAGTTTAATGTTTATTTTAAAGCAAAATTTTGACATACACATTCCTTGGATTTTTTTATGAATACCTTTTCCTACTTTCTCAATCAGATGTCATTATCAGGCTTAGTCTTATCTTCAACACACTTCATGCCATGGATAACCACTACTTCTTAGACTAAACACACAAGAGGAACACTGATGAATATCTGGTTATAAAATAACTAAGTTTCGTTCAAATATACTTCCATCTGCTTCTTTTGACCATCAATTTCAGACTGAACAGTTTTCTAAAGGACCACAGGTGGAGAAGAAGCTCTCAGCTCAGTCTGGAGGAAGAAAGTGAGTCACTAAGATATCAAATAAAACACGGTGTGTATATTTAAACTGAAGGAGAAACACTGCACCCGTGCATTTTAGTTTGGACTTAGTTTCCAGCTCGTTGTTTGATATTTATTTTAAAAGAAAGTTAAATGAGACAAAGAGGTTAAAGGTTTTTGTGTTGGCAATAACTAACAAAACTTGGTGTTTGTCTTAACTAAAAGCACATAAAGTTGGAACAACAATATAGATTTTACAGTTTTTTTTTTACTTAGGTTTTGGCATAAATATATGTCTTTCTTCCCATCTGCGTGTTATTTTAAATAAGACGCATTTCTCTCTGGAACTGGGAGACGATCTGAACTGTCTGTTCTACATCCAGGTGCTGTCCTGTTTTCATTGGCGGGAGCTCAGTCACAAACGGCGTTGGAACAGCTACATCCAAGAGGTGTGAAAAAATAATTTCACACTGTGTCGTGTCTTGTTTTTTTAATTAGACATAATTTGCACTTTTAAAGCAACGTTGACCATTGAATGTGTTCTACTACACAAATGTATGTATATTAGAGTTACTGACTTACAGAAATGTGTCTCAACAGGTCGTGTGACCAGCTACGGTGTGTATCCTGTGACTTCCGTGTGCTGATGTTTGACGATTCTGAATGGGATGCATCTTGTGATTACCTGTTCCTAAGGTCAGTCTGTAGATTCACTCAAATGTTTTGGCAAAACACAAACATATAGAGCATAAACGTCACTTTAAAGGTATTGATATATTTCCAGTTCTGTTTGTGAAACCCAAGTTTTACTTTTTGTATTACCAATGGTGTTCTGCCAGCTTAAAACAAACGGATCATGCCACTAATCTGACAGTGACAGATCGGGTCCAGATTGTTTGTTGCTCAGACCCATCTGGGAAGTAATTCTTCAAAGCTGTTTGGAAATGTGTGACAACTTTTTGAAAGCCGTTGGAAGCAGATTTCATGAGTCACCTGTCTATCACTGTTTCAGGAGTGAGTTGATCATTCAAATTATTGATGAGGCTATTATAGAAAAGTATCTAAGTCTTGGAAGATGTTCTTTGCTTTTTATTTGAATGAAATTCTCTTTATTTTTGTTCTATTCTAGCATTAAAAAAGTATCAATGTATCCAGCTTTTTTCCCCCTCAGCTAAAATCATTATTATTGTGTATTATTATTGAATCTTGCATTCACAAAGCCTCATGATTTGTAATTAAAGTCACCTTCAATAAAAATATATGGCAGAAATTCTCAGTTTGCTCATACTGTTCATTAAATAAAATAATAAATAACCAAAAGGTGGCAGTGTTTAACTGTGTGGCTGTCACTGTCCTTAACTTTTTAGTTAGACAAGTGATACAGAGTCAAAATTTTAAGTGGTGAGCACATTTCTAACAAAAATGTATGCGCGTGTTAAAGTCACCCACATTCATGTCAGAGCAGAAGAGCAGTTGTTTCTCCCAGTGAGAACAGTTCAGCATCTGCAGATCAGAGGGACTGAAATACAAACAAGCAGGAAAACTAGGTTTCAGAACATCTCACTGATGATTTTCACTTCAAACAAAATGCATAATTCTAAACTAGAGACGTAAAATTAAAACCTTGATTCAGCTCCCAAAGAAGCATAAAAGTTGACAAAATAATAAATTTTCCTGTTTTTGATTATCCAATTTTCATCTTATGCTAATTACCGTACACCATTTTTGCTTTTTTTCCCCTCTCTACATCAGATATGTGTGAGTGAGATATGGTGAAGTAAAAAGAAGCTAACATCAGTAAGAAAGTTCAAGAACTAGTAAAATACATTCAGATTCAGAGCAGGGGTTCTCAGAGTTTGTGTTCAAATGTCCAAATATGTTTTTTAAGATTACGTAAAAGGTCTGGAACAACTAATGATAAGTGAATTTAGTTTATGAAATTTGAACACAACAGAACCAAAAGAAATGTCTGTTTCCCAACAAATGATGGGAAGCTAAGCTGCTATTAAATTTAGTAAAATTTATAGGAAACTTGAGCTTAAACTTGATTAAATTACTTACTTTTATGTCTAAACATAATTAAATTCCTTTGTTTTCTCATAAGAGTAAATATATTAAATAAACTGAACATAAAAGCAACACAACACTGTATCTTTTAAATCAGGGGTGTCAAACTCGTTTACAAAAGGGGCCAAAATCAAAAACTTTTTCAAACTAAGGGCCAGTTTCAGAATCTACATTAACTTAAGTTAGATACCAAACATCTTTTCTTGGTTGCAGGTTCCTCAAAAAAAGTTTGATTGGTCTCATTTGATGTTCTCTGTTGCACTTTTGGCATCATAATCCAAGATAACTGAAAAATAATTCAAGTGAAAAAAGAATTTTACATTTAAAATATCATCTTGGGGGCCAGATAAGACATCAACGAGGGCCACATTTGGCCCCTGGGCCTTGAGTTTGACATATGTGTTTTAAATGATTAAGGTGTTACAGATGTCCAGAGGCAGCTAAAATAAAATACAACCCAGTGTGAAAAATGTCATAAAACTAAACACCATTGCATTGCACCAATGCATTTTATTGCTATAAAAAGAAAAAGAACACAGTTGGATGTAGGCCTGTCACGATAACAGATTTTGCTGGACGATTTTTTTTTTCTTCACATTATTGCGATAAACGATAATATTGTTTGAAATTTGATAATAATTAGTAATAATTAGTAATTATTGTCAAATGTAAGAAGAAATGTGGGTTAATTTTTGTGTGTAGTACATTTTTTTGACCACCGAATGGCAGTATAAGACTTGGTTGAACCGAAGGATGGATAGTGAGGGAGCAAGCAGCGTGTCTCTTTAAGAAAAATGGGAGGGAGACCCCTTGACATGAAATGGGCTGTGTCTCCTATTCTTCTATTCTATTATTCTCCTTCACTGACTACACTTCCTTTCTGCTTTAGTCTGAGTATGTTCTTCACATCAGGTCTTAACTCAGAAGCATGAAATAACTTGTTTCTTAATAAGACACAAATCAAAGTCAACTCAGAATCCCAGCTAGTTTTCTAACACGTCCTCTCCTGTTGCTTGCAATAATCCAGTTGGGCTTCAGTAAATCAATGCAGTCAAAGGAAATAAAACACTGGCCATCACAGAGACAGAAAATAGTAATAATTGTTGAAAAAAAAACAAGTTAACAGCTCTAAGAAATGGTCTGTGTTAAACCATTTGCTCGTAGCGTGTATTGTTCTCTCAGAACATGATGGTGACAGCAGTTCACATCCAGGCTCATTACCTTCCTCCAAACAGCTGCTTCTTTCAAGATTTGACACTAAAGGGGTTCTCAAAACAATTTGACTATTCAAAACACTTCTGAAGGACAAAGACACTTTTTGTGTCGCAGTACTCCAGCTATTACGCTGAAGCTGTCCTCATTTATGTCGTTTTTTTCTACTTATGTTCTCAGACAATAAAGACAAGTTCTTAAATGGTGATTTGATTGCAGCTCACCAAGGCCTAAATTGCAATAAAATCATTGTCTGACAAAATACCAGTTACTGTTGTGTTGTACATAGTATGAACTACAAACACATTTGTTATGAAATTTTCAAGAAATAGAAACGTGTTTAATTTGTGAGAAAAAAGGGCGACAATGGCAGCAGAGCAACAGAAAACATCTTGAAATGAGATGATCAGATGCTGAAACTTTCCATGTGGTCTTTGCAAGCTGGTGTCATTGTTCTCAACTATTGAAAGTAGAGATGCGTGATATAGTATTTTTGTCCGATATCCGATATGTTGATATGTTAAAACTTATTTGGTCGATAACCGATACCGATATTTTTTATATCTTTTTTATTTTTGTCAGAACATAGCCCTCTTGTTTATTCTTATTTGCTACAAAAATTGTGTAGCAGCTGTAAGAGCTGGTGACATATATTCAGAACAATCATATGCATAGCATTTTGTTGTATTAAATGAAAAGTGTTAAATGTTATTTATTAGCATTAGTCACCTGCGATGCTGTCTCACTTGTGGAGGCTTGTTCTGGGTTACTAGCTGCAGTGTGGGAGCCTCTGCATGCTTGTGCATGAAGGACAGCCTTCAAAGTTCAAAGTTGTTGTTGTGCCGTAAGACTAATCATGCTAACAGGGCTAACCCTTAATGTCCAATTACCTGTGGTACAGTAAAACTCACCCAAGTGCTATCGGCTATTAGCTTCTCAATGACGTCGGAAATGACGGCTTGTAACTCGACTGGGGACAATGTAGCGAGGCTCAGCGTAGTCCAAAAATCTTTGGACTCCGACATCCTCAGTGGAAACTGACTTCTTCCTCTCTGCCGTGATCAGATCAGGTAGGCGTGCGTGACGCCAGCAGGCATCCTCGTCAGGGTTGTCATACAAAAACAGCGTCTTTTATATCGGTGAGTTATTTTGATGGAATGTCTTATATTTAACATTAACGCTAATATCGGCCGATACCGATACCATGCCGATAATATTGTGCATCCCTAATTGAAAGTAAACAAGTCAAGAAGATTAAAACCTTTGCTTTCCTTGAAAGAATGCTTATCACCTGCCACCTTTCATGCCAGTTTTCAACTTAGCTCATCTTATGCTGAGAAGCGTCAGAGTGGCCATCTTAAATTGGATTGACAGCTACAGCCAAACGTGCACAGACACTGGCAAAACTTTATCACTTTTGGCAGCGGGTAATATTGTGTTCAAAGTTGATTAAGTTGGTTTTTTTTTGCAGAAGTTTATTGAAGCTCATGAAGCGAGTAAGCCTTTCTTAGTAGTCTGTCTATAAGTCCATGGTTCACAGATTGACTTAAAACATACACATCAGCACCTTGACATTTTATCACGAAGCATTTTTTTTGTCCAGAAGTGTGTAATTTATTTTTGTGCAACTTTAGGTTCAAAGCACTTTGAAACACTCAGGAGCACTCAGGAAGATGACTTTGTCCTTCCTGTTGTCATCTCAGTGTAGTCGTTCAAAAAGCTCCAGATCTGCACGGGCAGAGTCCCCCCACACCTCCTAAAGGTCTAGTTCCTGTAGAATAATATGTAGAATAAAAAAAGATTCACTAGCTTCATCAATGAGACAGAGCTTTGGAGAAGCAGTCAGAATACAGAAAGTCCATGCATTACGAGTGTCTTGATGCCTTGCTCTGCTTCAGTTCTGATCTACTGTATTTCTACTTACTCGAGTTAAAACTAGTTTTATAGGAATTCTTGCTAAGGTTTCCCCCTGCCCTCAGCTCACAGCGTTATCAGCTGAACTGGACCAGTGTGAGACCAGGCAACTGCTGAAAACAAAACGTCTTCAAGGTTCTGTACAGGAGGGGTGACGTGTGTCTGCCAGGCTGTCTACTGGCTCCTTCATTCCATGCAGCTAGTGAGCATTATAATATAAAAATGGAACAATTGTGATGTCATACTCACATATGTCCAGTACATAATGACCTAAAATCAAATAAAGAATTACGAACATTATTGCACGATACATATTGTAATGCATTAGAAAATGAATCAATAAATAATATATCTCAGATACAATTCTTCCCTCTGACAATCAAATTATTCTCACAAAATGGTAATATATAATTCATAACCCACGTAAAACAAAAATGAAAATTACTAAAACGTAAATAAGGAAAAAGAGTAAGTAGGCTCAGTCATCACATCATCACAAAACGGTGAAATCGGTGGACAGTTTCTTTTGTGAAAACATTTCATCCTTCATCCGAAGGACTGAGACTGTCCAGATGACATGATTTCACTTTTTTGTGATAAATAAAGAAAAAACAAACATCCTTCAGTCAACAGGTCTCTCTTGTAAATGAGTCCTTGTGACTCAATGAGACAAACCTGTATAAATAAAGGTTGAATGAAAAGTCTGGTTTGGTGCCCCCACCCCTTCAAATCCCCACACATCTGTTGGCATTGTATGACTCTGGTCTAAATGTTGCAGCCTTGAACTTCAGAAACAAAAAGTTATTAAAAAAAAATTACTGTTTGCGCTTGTGAATTAATATTTACTCCATCTGCTGATTAGTTCTCATAGACGTTAATTAAAATGTCTGCCACACAAAGTAGATGAAAAACATTAAAAATCATGAAGTGGGCTGCAGTAACTTGTTATTTTCTGCAGGAAGCATCACCCTGTGGATGAAAGTCTATTAAGAGCTCTTGAGCCTAATGTTTAATTTAGCAAAGGACATTTTAATTCAACACAGATAAATATATTTTTTATGAACAGCAGGCGCAGGAATTTTATTTAGTGAGTTTTAGCTGGGTAAGTAAATTCCTTTCTTCGAGCAACTTACGTGGAATTAGCTTAAAAAACTTAACAAGGTCTGTATTTTACACTTTGTTTTGATTGACGTAAAACAGCAGAAAAGAGGTTTCACTGACAAACATGCTTTTTTTATGTCAGATTGTATTGCACAATTTGCCCCAAGTCTGAAGGTTAAAAACACAAGTTTAACAGAATCATAATATTTTAGTGGGAATTCAGTGACTGAACATTTTCAAAACTCTTTTTCTAACTGAACTTTTAAACTGATACAGCTGCCCCCTTAATATAAACTATTTAATTTGAGCTGAAGGAACCCGGAAAGTGGATTTTCAGCTGCAGTGGTCTTTACAGTCTGATGAATATCTCTCATGGTTTTGTCCACATGCCCAATTTGTGATAGATTAGAAGTTAGAGCAGCCTGATGTTACAGATGTTTCAAGGCTGAGTGGAATCCATACTTTAGAATCTTAAAAATGAGCTTAATGGACAGTGGTTGAAACATTTTTCATTACACAGCCAGCTGTGATGAAGTTTTAGGGGCTGTTTGATTTCAGGTAGCAGATTCCTTTTTTCACTCAGCACTTCATTAGACAATCATCCTCTCAGCCAATCACGTGGCAGCAGGGCAGCTTATAAAATCCTGTGGATAGAGGTTTGGAGCTTCAGCTAATGTTCACACCAAATGTTTTGCAGGGTAGGAAAAAGTCCTGGATATTTGCAGAAGCTGCATGTGGTGAATTCATAGCTGGGCTTTGACAGCATGAATCATTAAACTAAAACTGTCTTTTATCAGTTGTCCAGGCGGGTGGTACGCACAGTCTAGACACAGTTTAGGTCTTAAATATGGCCTGTGGGTTTATTACCTCCAGCTTAGTTCTGTCATGAACCTTTTGAGACTACATTTATTATCTTTTGAAAAGAAATACTGATAATGAGCTGTAATGTCAAAAAAGTGCAAAAATATATTTTTAATCTGAGGAATTACAGAGCGTAGACAATTTTTTTTTTTTTGTGGAAGTAAAATTGATCAGAATCCAAATAAGATTTATTGTCATTGCATCGAAATACAGTGAGATTATGTTCGTACAGTCGTCCGAAAGATGGGCGGAGTGCACGTTGCTGCTGCTACAGGAGCGCGGCCCCTTGTGCTTTGTCAGAATACTTTTTTAGATAGAACAGGGGAAAAATCCATGAGGGTAGGATAGTAGCATTACAAAAAACGATCTCTTCACACCGTGTCCCATCAGGACACGATTTAAGACATCAAAAATCTCTGCCTGAAGCACATTTATAAACACATAACATATGCAGCTGACGGCAAGGCGGTGAGATTTGTCCATGAAGCACGTCCAGATAGACCATAGTCCTGATAAGATGTTACTTAGCCGGCACAGTTCTGATAAGCCTTCACAGAAGTTCTTGGGGGGGTTGTTGCGATAGACAAAGCTTTTCCTTAGTTTACACATATCCCAGGAGAAATTTGATAAGTCAGCTTGTTTTCTAGGCCAACTGGGGGAGTCAGATTCAGATAAGCCACAATTGTTGATTTTTTTTCATGCAGTTTTTTTTTGTCAGCCTTAAGTCCTGCTGGTACTTTCAAGATCCAAAACAGCCAGATTAGTGGGTATTCCACTGGTCCGTGCCTACGAGGCTCGTCCAAGGTCGTCTCCAACATGCTGGCGAGTCCCAGAAGCCGTAGGTGGCCTGCAATTCTCACAAATTGCTTCTATCTTATGGTTTATCTTGTAAATCAGCTGATTTTCTGTACTCGAAGCACGAACCAAACCTTCACACAGACTTGGCAGTTTTGCCATTGCCGAAACTGCCGCCGCCATTTTCCTTAATAGCCGATAACACAGGAATCCACCGATGCCAGAGAGCAGAAACCCTGCGATCATAAATCCAATTATACAAACGTCTTTGGTGTCCTCCTGAGACAGAACGGAAAGACACATCAGCTGCCAAACTCCCCACTGGTCCATGACGCATCCTGCTGCGTGAGTCTCAGTGGGGCATGAGGGCTCTAGGACCATGTCGCTTTGTTGAAAAGATTTTGTCGATTGCGTTGAAAGTCCAGCTGACCAGATCCATGACAGTAGTTTTAGTTTCTGAAGATGTGTAACAGGAGCTCTGATACACTGACAGAGCAGAAAAAAGCAGGAGGAGGAGAACAGGAGAGGGAGAGGAGGCGTCCGCCTTGCATGAGAGCGAGTGCAGAAATATAACCAACTAGTTTCAAAATACTCAGTAGTTTAATCAGTAAATTTAACAGTATTATAATTCGGTTATTGTTGAAAAATGATAGTTAATTTAATCTGAACAAGCTCCGTTTGTAGCCACTGAATCTGTTTATAATGAAAAGGTAATCTCAGGACAGGGATCCTTCGTTTCTTTCTCCCCACAGCACATTCAAAACAAATTTTTCTTTCAGATGATTTTAACGACTGCACAATATTAAAGCTCTTAATAAATTTCACATGGAAGAGAATCATTTGAAACAGCTCTGTGAGGAGCCGTCTGTGTGTTGGAGAATGCTGAGGTCACGTCCCCAGTAATGATTAAACTTCTGTCTGTTGGCAGGAACAACATGCCGGACCGTCAGAAGCTCAGAACCAAGCTGAGGAGGTGGGGGGGTTCCCGGGCGTACTGCTGCCAGTGCAGCTGGTTCTCTGCGTCAGAGACAACAGACCTCAGAGACCGACCTCAGCTCAGATGGGTCTGTGGCAAACACCAGGACTGATGTTCACTCCTCACCACTGCAAACACACCGTTTATTCTTAAATCATCAACTAACGCCAGCTATTCTCCTAAACAGGTCAATCACCTAGATGTAATTGCTAGACACATTTTTACAGTGATCAAAACAACGAATTAGGAAATATATTTTGAACGTTGAATCAGTTCTGTTTACACCACAAGCTAAATTAACGGTGACATCAACCATTGTTTTAGTGGTTCAGTCCTTTTGTTGCTAGCTTTTGCTACTTTTGAATGCTGGATCTCAGCTTATCTTTACGGCTGAGTCCAACCATTTCTACAAAGGAAGCTCATTTCAGCCGCTTCCTTGATGTTGATTTTTTTCGGTCGCGATCCATACGCCATGGCCATTAGTGACGACTGGAATGTAGCTGGAGCCTTCGTTACCACAAAAGACTGAAGCAATGCACTCTTTACTTCGGACGAGGCCGTCAGTCTGTCCTTCATCCTGCCTTCATTTGTGAACAAGACTCTCAGATATCAAGGCAGAGACTTTAAGGAACTTAAACATTTTCTTCAGTTGAGAACCATGACCTCAATATAAGAGGAGCAGACTCTCATCCCGGCTGGTTCACTCAGCTGCAAGCTGCCTCAGTGTGTGCAGAAAATCATGGCTAAAGATCACAAACTACATCTTCTGAAAAGAGCAGAGGCAAAAAAAACTGATATTCCCCAAACAAGACACTTTCCTTCCTACAACTGCTCTTTGAGATTTGATTCAGCGCCACAAACAGGATCAGAGACAAGGGACCGCTCAAGTGGAGTCCAACCCACACCAGGAACGAGCTCAACTTTGTTCGGGAAATGCAGATGTGATACTGACTCATGCTTTGGGCACTTCTTTATTTTGCTAATTTCGTCAGTGACATGATGTTGAAGACATTGGTATTTGATCTTTGACCAACTAATTAAGCAAAGTATAACTAATCCAATCCATCCCATCACTAGTTATTGTAATTATTGTAAAGGTTGCAGTTCTCCTTTGTTATGTTGTGACATGACATACACTTTTCTGCCTTCGTGATCTTTCCTGTCTGTTTTCACAGTGATGACACACTGATGAAAATGTACTCAATGTTCTCATGTCATCACACCAAAATGAGATTAAATCCTCATAAGTGTGGGTTTAGATAAGAGTCACTATGATTTAAGTTGTATTTATTGTTCATAAACTATTTCAGTTTAAAATTGTACATCAGACAAGAAAAGTGTTTCATAAGTGAAAAAGAAGTTGTGAGTGTGAAGAAAGAAAAATAAACCTATCCACAGATGCTCTGAATATTTCACTTTTATTATGAATATTTGTTTACTTAAGATAAAATCTGTTTAAACCGTGGTACTTTAACTGTCTTCAGCTCAGAGAAGTGTCCAGCTGCAGCTCTCATACCTGAAGCTGACGTCACACCTGCCTTCATGGAAACTTTACTTATCAGACCTCTGAACTCTCAATGTTAGAAACAAAATGCACAAGTGGTCTAAGATGAAATAAGTAAAGTTTAGTTTGTTTGAATGGCAGAAGTGTGCAGTTTGTTTTGTTGAAACTACAAACCGGATTCCAAAAAAGTTGGGACACTAAACAAATTGTGAATAAAAACTGAATGCAATGATGTGGAGGTGCCAACATCTAATATTGTATTCAGAATAGAACACAAATCACAGATCAAAAGTTTAAACTGAGAGAATGTATCATTTTAAGGGAAAAATCTGTTGTTTCCAAATTTCATGGCGTCAACAAATCCCAAAAAAAGTTGTGACAAGTCCATTTTTACCACTGTGTGGCATCCCCCCTTCTTCTTACAACACTCAACAGACGTCTGGGGACAGAGGAGACCAGTTTCTCAAGTTTAGAAATAGGAATGCTCTCCCATTCATGTCTAATACAGGCCTCTAACTGTTCAATCGTCTTGGGCCTTCTTTGTCGCACCTTCCTCTTTATGATGCGCCAAATGTTCTCTACAGGTGAAAGATCTGGACTGCAGGCTGGACATTTCAATACCCGGATCCTTCTCCTACGTAGCCATGATGTTGTGGTTGCTGCAGAATGTGGTCTGGCATTATCGTGTTGAAAAATGCAGGGTCTTCCCTGGAAGAGATGACGTCTAGATGGGAGCATATGTTGTTCTAGAACCTGAACATAGTTCTCTGCATTAATGGTGCCTTTCCAGACATGCAAGCTGCCCATGCCACAAGCGCTCGTGCAACCCCATACCATCAGTGATGCAGGCTTCTGAACAGAGCGTTGATAACAACTTGGGCTATCCTTGTCCTCTCTGGTCCAGATGACATGGCGTCCCAGTGTTCCATAAAGAACTTCAAATCGTGACTCACCTGACCACAGAACAGACTTCCATTTTGCCACACTCCATTTTAAATTACCCCTGGCCCAGTGCAAACGTCTGAGCTTGTGGAGCTTGCTTAGAA